GCTTGTTTAATTGTACAAAGGAATACTGTACAACATTGAGAATAAATGTACTGAAACTACATACAAGTTAGATAGATTAGACAAATATGTCGTTGACTAAAACAGTACATAGCACAGACACTCACTTATGTATGGTTCAAAAAATATTAAAATAACCCATCATCATAAGAAAGTATGCCTTGGGAAAAGAAGATAGTGACTTAGGAGGGAGCATGTAGAAGGCTTTGGAGGATTCTTGTAATGCTTTGTTTTTTTGTTTGTTTGTTTGTTTTCATCTAGGTGATGATGGCAGGGATTTTTAGAATAATGTTTTTAGAAATGCATCTAGTTGTATACTAATTATTTTTGTATAAATTATATGAACATTACACATCAAAAATCTTCCAAAAATAAAGTCTATTCATGATAAGATTATGAGAAATCCCAGAATTTTATTATTATACATTTTTATGTCTAGTAATGCCTGGTATACAACAAGGTTTAGCTTTTTTTTTTTTAAATAAATGGTGTAACTTTTATGGAATATTTCAGTGGATAATTATGACTTTTGTTTTTAAGATTTGCTCTTTACCTAACAAAATGTTTTATTCAACCCATGAGCACTTTTAGTATTGTTTTCTGAAAAAAAGGAAGCTTAGTAAATGTGACTTTCCTTAGGACAAGTTCCCTGCACTGGACTTATTTATTATTCCCTGATTTAGGGCCAGAAGAATGTTTTCTGAAGGGAGAGTTTATAAGTAGAAAGTTTCATGAATAGTATTACATTTTGGAGCACCATTGACACCAGGGAAATTGTTTAGGTAAACATTCCTTTCCTTTCCTCACTAAAGTTACTAGTTGTAATCTTAAACTACTAGTAGTAATCTTAAATCATGATTAATGTTGAATTACAACTAGTAATTTTCCTCTGTGATTTAAGAAAGCAATTTTCAGTTAAATACAAAACCCTTTAGGAATTTAATTATCCAATATTTGATAATAATTATGTTCAGATTTTAATGAAAATGTTTAGAGGGAAGTTAGACTAAATGGACTGCAGGAACAGTTATGCTTAAGAAGTTAAATTTAGGTTCTGCCTAAACCAGTGTAACCTGAAGAGATTTGTCATCTCTGGAGATGAGGAATCCACCTGATGGGATAATAATTTTGGACCAAGAATAATTCCTGTTTCTTCAAATTTGCACCAGAAAAGTAGATACTGGTAGTATGGCTCTTGGGTAGCACAAATGCATCACTGTCTTTGGTTTAATGGGTGCAAATTATTATGACTACTTAGTTTGTGCTTGACCTCAATAATATCTCCTATAGCCATAAGTTTAGTGTACTTGTATCAGCACCATCACCCAAAGAAGGGCAATAAAACATGAAAAGGCATTGAAACGTATCAACGAGGAACCCATTTCCACACACACACAAAATACTCTGTTTCAATCATTTTAACCTAGGTTATAGTCTAGCATTATAGAGATTATGAAAATAGGCCATGTGTCTGTCTACTACCAAGTAAGGTTTGAGAAGACAGAGGAATCACCTGGAGAATTGGTATACATAAACTGACTTATGTCTGTCATTTGTTACATTATTTTTGTACATACAAAATTTTCATTTACATGTCTTGTGTTATTATTGAAAATCATTGTACTCCAAATGTATGTATAATAAACTAATAAAATAAATAAATAATTAACTGCATTAAGATATAATATAAATGGGAATAAATTATTGTACATTACAGTCAACAGTAGACTTAAGTGAACACAGAAATATGTGCTTTCCATCATTCTGCAATGATTTACACATTATAAAATATCACTGAGAATACGGCCAGTAAAGAGTTTTCCCCAAGGCTGCTATGCTGCACAGCCTCAGGGGCACCATGTTACTTATTTTCTATGTGCTCCTGAGGACGGCACAATACGGCAGCCCTTTGCACACTAAAGTTAAAAATGTTGGAAAAAAAATGTTGGAGTGTCCAGTGAAGATAAATAACCCAGAGTATATATTGTTCTGGCAGACTCTCCTATTACTACCCTTTGCCCTCAATCACTGGTGGAATTTTGCCTTAGTTTAGGAAAGGAACTTGAATGACCTCTCCATTTTCCTAAAACTCTATAGATATAGCATCACTATTTTAGTGAATTTCACTTTGACACAAATACTCTATAGCATTTCATGAGGGTAGCCAAAATAGTTATTTCTCTCAAAGAGGTTTTTTTTTTTTTTGGGGGGGGGGGTTGTTTTTTTTTTTCATTTGTTTGTTTTTGTTTTTGTTTATGTTATGCTGTAGTAAGAAGTCTGTTGAGAGCAGGAACTTTGGAGTCAAAAAGACTTCACGTCTATGAGAATCAAGAAGTTTACTGATTACTTTTGGATCTCACTTTTGGTATTTGTATAACAAGAGGTTGTTAGAGAAGGAAACACAAGGTCCCACTTGAAATATATAAAAATATTCATGAATATAAATTAAATAATATATGAAAAGCACGTGATATTTGTTAAGATATCCACAATGATCTATATTTAGTTTCATACCTTTGTCCCCTACAAGTCTGAGTGTCCACTGCTGGCAGTGATGGCTTTTGGTAAGTACATGGCCATTAGCAACTCCTTGGTTTATACAGTGACGAATGAAGCTATGCTTAAAAAGCATGTTTATAGATAGAATAATAGAGTCATTTTTATGCTCAGAGCAATATGAATACAAGATTTAACTCTCCGTCCCTATAAAGGAGTCCAGTGAAGTCACAGTCTAAGACAATAGCCCAGATTAAGGAAGGATAGAATATTGCATTAGTAATTGTAAGGAAGAGACTGGGATAGACACAAAATTCAGACTTTCAGTACCTCCCAGTTATCAAAGGATTAACATTAATATAGTCTACAAAAGTTATTTTGGAGGTAAACAGAACTTGGCTTTATAAAAAATTTATCATCCTAGCACAGATTTATTTTAGAAGAATCATCTTTGTATATGTCAACTATATTAGTAGAAACAGACTTTCAAATTTGTTCCTACTCTTTGTTGAACATCCACCAGCCTAATGACCTGAAAATATCCAAAAACATACACTCACTTAGTCATTACTCATGCAATTCTTTGTGCTAGGGATTGTGGGAATGTAGAGAGACATATGTATGAGCAGATTTAAAAAATAAAATGTCAAGAGTGTACTGGCTGCGGGACAGCTATAAAATAATTGAAGGGAGGGTGGTTGGCATATAGTTGGGGGAAAAGAATCAGACAATGATTAATAAAAAAAGCAGCATGTATGATTAACATACTTCTAAATGACAGATGAAGGAGACTGTTTCAGAATGGAAGAAACAGAATGAGCAATGAAAAGGATAAGAAAACATTGAGTAGGGGATCTATTTAAGTTTAACTAGATATATGATTTCACTGGAGGAGGTATAGATTCATGGTAGCAATGAGCCTCGTGTTAAATAAACTCTGTTAAATTTCTAACATTTATTAATTTTTGGACAAGTATGGAAAATCAAAAGTTCAGCCTTTGTTTAAGTTTTTGCAGCATTCCCAGGGAAAAATACACAACAGGAATCTAATTAATTGTGTTTGGATAACACAGAAGAGTGAAGGTAGAAGCTTAAGGGATTTAAGTCCCAACGGTCAGTAGGTAAAAATAAATGTGATCTATTGTTCATGTACGAGACATAAGGACAGAGAGACTTGCACATCTCAGGTAGGGTTCTGAATGGCTGAATTTAAAGAATATAAGGGAGTATATTCTTACTGTTTAGAGAAATGAGGAATCAAGTATTGAGGAATTTCTAAATGAATGAATTTCTACCTGTTTACTTATTTAAATAAACTCTGCAACCTAATGGCCAAACAATAAGTCTTTCTCTTTAGACATATGTGGATATAACTTGCTTGTTTGTCATTTGGATAAGCATACTAATGATTTTACTTATTTATATTTCAATGGATACTCATAAGTAAACCATTACTTTTTTTTTTTTATCACTTTGCAGGTGATATTATTGTACAACTAAATTTAAGATCTGTCCTAGTGTTATTAAAATAATAATGATGGTAACACATTGCAAAAACCAATATATGTAAATTCAGGTTCATACGGGGCACAAACAAAAATACTTAAGTCTAGAAGAAATAATAGTTCATATTCCAATTTTGTGTATCAACAGCTAAGCAAACAGACACACACACACACACACACACACACACACACTTAAATGCTCATATAAACACAAGAATCAAGCCTATGTATCTCAGAAACATTTATTCTCTTCCCATTTTGATTTTAATGAAAAAGTCAGTTTAAAAGCTGACAGCAAGCTAATGTGTGTGCTGTAGTCTGCGTTTCCACTTCTTCTCACCACTTCTCTTTGGTTTTCAGGAGATTTATCCTTTGGAACCAGGTCAGTCATGCAAATGGGTTTTGAATGCTGTGGGAAACCAGTGATGGTGAATGATAAAACAGTTCAATAAAATGTGTTTCATTTTTCAGTAAACACTAAAGATACTGTGCCAAAAACAATACCGTAATAATTTTCATTTAACTTATATTCAATATCATTGTCAGTGATAAAATCAATTATGTTTCTTGAAAAATACAATAAATGTGATTCTATTTGCCAAACATATAATATGGTTGATCTTGTGTCTTCTGGCCTTTTCTCTCTAACTTTGGTGCTTTTTTCAAACCATTTTTGATCTACTGCCTGAGATTGCGTGATACAGTCCAAGACAAGCCACATATCTCAGGAATTATATATAAATTTAGAATCAAAGTTTATCAACTCCCTACTCCAGACATTTTTAGTATTTTGCACATGAGAATGCTTATTAAAAAGTGACACTTATCTGGAGTATTTTCTGAGAGTAAAGAAGACAGTTTACAGAAACAAATCATGTTCTGTCTTACAAATAATATTTTTTGGATATCCATAAAACTCAAATCCTAATCTATCCTTCTTTTGATGATTTTTGAAACAGTTTTGAACAAGATCAAAGAAGAATGGACAGGGGAAATTGCTCCTCGGTAACAAATTTTTTTCTCTTGGGAATTACTGATAACCCGAAAGTAAAAGTAACTCTGTTCTCTGTATTTCTAATTGTTTATCTCATTATTCTCCTGGCAAATTTTGGAATGATCATTTTAATTAGGATGGATTGGCAGCTCCACATGCCAATGTATTTTTTCCTTAGCCACCTCTCTTTCTGTGATCTCTGCTATTCCACGGCAATTGGGCCCAAGATGCTGGTGGACCTAATGGCCGAAGACAAATCAATTCCCTTCATTGGCTGTGCTCTGCAATTTCTCATCTTCTGTATCTTTGCAGATTCTGAATGTCTGCTGCTGGCAGTGATGGCCTTCGATCGGTACAAGGCCATTAGCAACCCTTTGCTTTATACAATCAATATGTCCAACAGAGCGTGTTTCCTACTCTTGGCTGCAGTTTATCTGGTAGGAATGACAGATGCTTTAATACCTACGACCTTGGCATTCCTCTTATGTTTCTATGTATCTAATGAGATTAATCATTTCTTCTGTGACTTTCCTCCTCTCCTATTGCTATCTTGCTCAGACACACAGGTCAATGAGCTGGTGATATTCACCATAATTCGTTTCATTGGACTGAGTACCATTTCAGGAGATCTTGTCTCCTATTGTTATATCGTCCTTTCAGTCTTAAAGATCCACTCTTCTGAGGGAAGGTTCAAAGCATTCTCCACCTGCACCTCCCACTTAACTGCAGTTGCAATTTTCCAGGGAACTGTGCTCTTCATGTATTTCCAGCCAAGTTCATTCTACTCTCTAGATCAGGACAAAATGACCTCATTGTTTTACACCCTTGTGATTCCCATGTTGAACCCTCTGATTTATAGCCTAAGGAACCAGGATGTGAAAGAGGCCCTGGGAAAGCTGAAAAATAAACTTTTTAAATAAATAGGTATACACTGTAAATAAATATGCATTTATATACACACAAAAATGCATACTCATTGTTTTCTTCAAATCATGTATTCTAAAGTTGTCTCAAATGCCTTAACTAATATAACACACATTTTACTAATTCTCAGCATACTAAAATTTTGAAATTTCCTAAATAGGCTATACTTCATCATGTGCCTTCAATTTAAATAAAGTTCTCCCTATTTTTGTAAAACTTCCTTGTCTCTCTATTAGTGTGCCCAGCTTTCATTTGTATGCTCTTTTTTTCGTAAGTTAATTTACTTATTCTGAGAGTTATTGAGTCTTTAGGATGTGCCTTTTGCACTGTTGTGTGCTTTGCATTTTATAGTAAATTCATTAGTTTCTATGCTAATGAATGTCATAATGTAGTGAAACTGGAAACATTAAACTTACGAATAATTCCTAATAAAGTGTAAAGTGCCATTAAACCAAAAGGCAGTATAATCAAATACAAGCAAGATCTCTAAATCTATATTACAGAGGAGAAAAGATTCTTTGAAATGGAGACATTTAGTTTCAGATCTAAACAATGAGTAGATATACAATGGGAGGTAGAGAGAAGAAAGAGTCGTAGATGGAGAAGCTGAGAAGTGGAAACTCAGGGTGTGCAGGACAATGCTTTTCCAGGGAAGAGAAAGCTCGGGATGTAAAAATTAAAGTACAGAGGGAAAGGCCCCAGTAAAGTTCATCCTTGTGCTGAAGTTCTCAGCTCAGTCACTTCCACTCTGCTTTACTTCCTTTCTTTCCCCCCCTCAGACCTGGTGAAATGCCCTTCTTTTAGATTCATGAATAAAATTCGCCTAAAGGTATTATTCTATCTATCACTCTGTTTAGTAAGCTATTGACTCATAAATGAGACTGGGAGCATTCTTCTCTTAAGGATTGTGTATTTTATGCCTGTCATTCCAGCACTTGTCTGAGACACAAGGTTAAAAAATAAATAATTAATAAAAATCAATACACACTATAACATTTTCGAGTGTTTTTTAGATATCAAAGTATAAAAACTGAGGGCCAGATATGTGCCTTGAATATATATATTTAATAGCTTCTGAGAAGGTAAATAAAATGTTGTGAATGCTAAGATTATGTTGTAATCAATGTGCACATCTACAAAGACATGCATAAGGATTGCACAGGAAGTAAAGAACATTCATTTGGTTACATTGTTTTGGGGTTTTTTTTGGGGGGGGTATTATTATTTTTTAGTTATTTATTTTGGTGGCTGGCCAATATGGGTATCTGAATGATTGACCTTGGTGCTAAAACACCATACTCTAACCAACCAAGCTAACCTGCCAGCCCTATCCTGGGTACTTTCTTGATGTTTTTCTACATCCTCTGGTCAAGGGAGAAGTATATTGACAAAATGTGGATATAGACATATATTTGAAGGATCACACAAAACTCAATGACACTCAATTATTCATTACAATTATACAAACTAAAAGACAGGTATTCTAGCTGCCAATGTGAAATGTCCTGTGTGAAAATATTTCAGAAGGAAAGTAAAGCACAAGAGATTCCTTTGCTTTTCAAGTTGGCATTTGTGGGACATTGTGACAGATTATAGGAAAGCACAGTAAAGGGAAAAAACCCATGAGACATGCTTCTTTTAGAAAACAGGTTTTAAGAGTTTCCACCTGTACCATATGTTCTCAATTTACACATGTTCTTGTTAATCTTTCTTACAAGCAACAGCATAGATGAAAGCATTGTTTGAAAATTATTAAAGTTCAGACAAATTGGAGGGTTGGTGGAGTGCTGCAAATTCAGAAAACATAAACATCTTTTCTCCCTTCCATATGAAATATGGCAGTTATGTCATAGAAATTGATTTGATCTATTGGCTCATTTAATCACACCCAGTAAGTGTGGACTAAAGACAAGGAAATTGTAATCCCAACAAAGATGTGATCTTAAGCTCAATAAAGGTATATCTACAAATGGGAGAAACCAAGTTGATTGATCATAGGCCTCATCTCTGAATTTGTCCAGTTAAAGGTTAAAAAATCACTTACCAAGAAAATTGTTAAGAAGATTCATGATTTAAATAGAAATTTGGTG